CCCCCGTCCCCTGACATAGGAGTAAGCGTAGCAACAAATCTAATAAAGAAAAACAAAATGCAGGTCAAGAACAAAAAGACAGGGCTCAGCTAATAGGAGGAGACATCAAACTGAAGTTAGCAAGGCAAACCCAGAATCACTGAATTATGAATAAGTGGATTTTAGTGGATGTGTGAGAGACCGAAAGAGTGAGTGAGAGAATGAGTGAGTGAGTGAATGAGTGAGTGAATGAATGATTTTGTGAGTATGAATGGGATAATGAGTGAGTGACTTGGGGATTGAGAGTATGAAATGAACAGTATGAGTGAGTGAGTGAGTGAGTGAGTGAGTGAGTGAGTGACAGACTTCATGAGTGTATTAGGTCATAGTGAGTTAGGAGTGAGTGACTAAATATGAAAGAGAACGAAAAAATGAGGACAAAACGTAGTCGTGCCCATATTTGTGTGTCACGTTATGGGTCAGGTAAAGGTCAGTGCGGAAGAGTCTCTGTTTGAAGAAGGATTTATTACGTAAGATAAGAGGTGTGAGAAGAAGCACAAGGTGTAGGCCAACTGGGTAAAAAGTCTACTCGATCCCCCCCCCCTTTCCCTTCTTAAAAATAACTTTTGCCCCTGACGACACAGCATCCCACAAGTGGCCTATGGAGACTGAATGCTTAGAAGGTCAAGTAAGTTCCGAATTAAGATTTCAAGTAGACTTTTATTGCTTTCAGCATCCTATCCTCAAAGGGTATATTAATTGATGATCTTGAGGATCTCTTTACGCTTGGCCGTGCTGGTTACACATCTGACAGGCACATGGCCGTTTTGTAGCTGAAAATAATAATATGGTGTATTTTCTGCGTACACACACCCTGTTCCTGCGTTTGGATTTTGAGTTTGACAGTACCGGCGTCTATGGTAGAGCGGTTAGGCGCTTTGCCGTCGCAGCCAGAAGTCGTTAGTTTGATTGTCAAGTCCAGAGTAATATGTATTTGTAAGAGTTTTACCGAATTCGTACACAATCATATAAGAGTCGGAAATTAATAGCGTTGTTACAAAGTAACATGCAGAATGAAAAGGAGAAGAGATAAGGATATCAAACTAGAGCAACCACCAACCAACCACGAGGTGGTATTTTTAAAAGTCAATCCCCATCTCTCTGCTTGGACGTTGTATCCCTCTGTCTGTCTGTCTGTCTGTCTGTCTGTCTGTCTGTCTCTCTCTCTCTCTCTCTCTCTCTCTCTCTCTCTCTCTCTCTCTCTCTTTCTCTCTCACAGTCTCTCTCTCTCTTTTTTCTCTGACCGTGTTAGTTCTAATAAACCAAATCGAAGCAGCCCACCTCCTAAATAATTTAAATTGTCTTGATGGGGTCGTTAAACATTTACAATATTATTATAACTCTTTCTGAGACATGGACGCTGTATAGCTGTAAGTGTGGGGTACCATCTATATGCATTCTGAACCTGTGTTTGGGTTTTGAGTCCGATGATAAAGATCGTAAACATTTTAGACCATACTGACGAATTTAGATCTTTTAGGAGCGAGATTCTTCGGCCCTGTTTTTCAGGGATAACCCACACGGTGTGGGATACAGCATTCTAGAAGACAGAAAGAGGCACTTTAAAAAAAAAGAACGAATCCCCCCCCCCTCCAAAAGCCCGTTAAAAAACCGCCTTTCCCCATTAATTCAACCATAATGTCTTGATTAAAACGTCTTCGATATTGCCAAATTAACATATAAACATAAAAGGACACTTATGAGAACACCTATAAAAAGGCTTGGGGAGGGGTGGGGATGGGTTAATAACCCACTGGGAGCTCATTTTTTCATTTCACTGCATCTGCTAACTCTGCCTCACAACATTATTTGGGGGATACAAAGTCGGAGGCAAACTTTAAAAAAAACTCATTTAAAAACCTACCTTGTTTATGAAATACAATTTTGATCGTTAGTCCTTCTCATTTGTATTGTTTTTATGGTCGTAATGTGATGTACATATCTTTATTCATTGTTCTGCGATAGACATTGACACAGAGAGAAACTGAGACGAGGAAAAACACATAAAGATAGCAGAAAGACAGAGAAACAGATACACAGAGAGATACGCAGAGAAAGATACAGAATGAGAAGTCAAATTCAAAAGAAATGAAACGAAGGAGACAA